TACTTATATTATTTCTGGAAGAAATGTTATGTTACTTTATCCTTCAATTAGTGGAATGAAGCAGACAATTTAGCAGCAGGAAAGACAAGACAAGAATTGCACCCTGCAGAAATCTGATGACAAAGGAAACTACAGTTTTAAAAGGAAAAATGAAATATGTAATATATTTCAGTCTTCCTTCATACTCAAAGAAGATGACATTCAGAAGTAGTCAGAGCTTCACGTCAATACATTATAAAAACATAAGATCAAATTTTCTCGAGATAATAAATAAATGAATATTCTGAAAGAGTGATTTTAACTTCAGTGGTTGCGGAGGGCCAAACACTAAGCTTGAATAAATAAAAAAAGGAAAGCGAGAATTTTAATAAAACTGCTGGAAAATGCTATAACATTAGCACGATCTAAATTCGTAAATTTGTATTTATTTATTCTTCCTTAGACTGAGGCCCTCAACTCTCATCTTGGACGACTGCTACATTGATAATTCTATATTTCGAATTAAATTACACATACTGGATAACATTAAAACGTTTTTCATCGAATGTCAATAATATCATTTAAATAATAGAAGAAGAATTTTTTAAGATAATTGGATAATCAATGCCAAAGCAAAAGTCATAAAAGAAGCAGAAAGTGGCAAATGTGGCAGACAAAAGCAAAATTCAAGTTCATAAAAATAATTTTAAAATATTAAGAAAAAACATCTACAACAAAAATTACTAAAGACTTTGTTAAATAAAAAATCCATTGGAGTATGTTAATAGATGTAGTTCTTGTAGACGATAAAATTACCTTCTCACAAAATATGTTACTGAAAATTGAGATGCATGCGTTATTCGCGAATAATCAAATTGAACTTCATCTTTGATCCTGAATGTAGTTCATTTCTGAGATTATTTACATGAAATATATTCTGTTTGAAATGAAAGGTGAACATTGCTTTCAAAATTATTCAAACTTCATCTACGTAAAAATAAGTCTTCCATATAGAAAATACAATAAGTATTAAGACCAAGATGCAAACTAGCTAAGAATTTTTTCTTCTACAAATATCATTGTGAGTAGACGCTCAAGTAAGGTATTGTTAATGCAATAAATATGCGGTAAATTGAATGTTTTTGATTCTTGTTTAATCTTAGTTTTACGATATTACTAGAAGAAGTACAATGACATTCAATTCTGATTTTGATAGTTTTCGAAATATCATCTCAATATAAGGAAAACCTCCCGTGATGAATGCAATGTACAATTCACGAAAGGAGGCCGTTGACCCTCTTACGGTATTTGCGTGTGCTCTTCCAAGGTGAACATTTTCCGAAGCGTAACTGGCATGTTAGAATTTCATGTAATTCGATGCGTAGCAACTGTCTCAATCGTTCTTCCTGGTTAATTGTACGCAATAATATATCACTTAAGCAAATGTCTTTAAACGAAGAAAATTAATCTTTATAAAACAAGTTGTATATGTTCAAAATAATAGTAATGGATGTGTTTCTGTTGATCATAGCTTCACGATCACTGTAGGCTACAAACATTAGTTAACAAAAATGGCTTTTTTATGTACGATCACATTGAACGAGAATCTGTTTCTACGTTTTGAAATTTGTTTAATGGCTTTAGGTATTGCTAAAAATGTATGTATAGTTTGGTTCTATTCTTTGTAGAAATCATCCTTTATTCCGGAGTAAAATTGTGCTGAATTTTTTGTTTCGAAAATTATAAAGTAAAAATGAACACTTGTGGACAGAAACTAATAATTCAGAATACTTTAGAACGTAGTAAGAGTTTCTTGCAAATTTGCTATTTGTAAGTTGCTTGGATAGTTATATATTTTAAGATTTTTTCCACATGATTGATGTAATAAATAATATTTGATAATACATTAAAAATATACATGCTTCATTCAACAGTTAAGACATTAAACTTGTTGCCTCCGAATCATTTATGTAGTCAATATAACCCGATCATGGGCAATGAACTGTATTTACTTTTATAAGTATTATGTATATACTTACATTATTTCTGGAAAAAATGCTATAATACTTTATCCTTCAACCCCTGCAATGAAGCATGGGGAAGACAAGACAGGAATTGCACCCTGCAGAAAACCGAAGACAAAGAAAACTATAGCTTTAGAAAGAAAAATGAAATAGTATGTTCTATATTTCAGTCTTCCTTCATACTAACAGAAGATGCATGATCTTCCTATCACAAGGAACTAAATGTTTAGAGCCGTCTTATAATATGGCTATGTAAAATGTCTTCCAAAACAGTCACTTTTCAAAATCTGTGTAGATAAACAAATACCTAAATTCACCTTTCTAATGGTTAAATATTTATAGCTAATACGTACATGTGTTGTCAAAAACAGGTCCAGAGATATATTACACTCTTACCTCAATTTTACAAATAGAAATATACAAATATTTTTCCAAATTTATTAAACATCGTTATAATCTTTCTCTTACGTTCAGCCGTCTGATCACGATTTTATTGCCCATCTACAAAACAAACACATGACATTCTTTGTAGAACACTAAAAGGAATGCTGCGTGAAGGATCATCATTTTAATAAGCCCATATTATTGTCGTAAAATAAACAGAATTAAAATTAACATACGAATCGAAGTAAAGATCTGTGGCTACAAAAATATTTTAAAAAAATAAATGTGAAACAATCTTTTATGTTCAGAAGAAACTACCAATCATGATTCAATTTCGGATCTGACTCATGGACAAGCATATACTACTTACGTCGGCGTTGGTAGCATTTCTTTCAGCGCCAAAAGAGTGCGATAACTGGCAACCAGAGAGATCTGCTGGATAGGCGGTGTGCTGCTACTGAAAGTGAGCTCGCTCCTGCAAGTTATGCAACCCTTTTGCCGCAGCTGCCGCGCGTGTGGCAGCTATTTCTGGAGACGTCTTTCACCTTTGGCAATAAGAAATCGCCCTTTCGCATTAACATCTTCCGCGTGTCCCTAAACTATCGATTATAATGATCTGGAATGTAGTGGAACTTCTTGCTACCTCATTCCGTAACCGCCTACCGTTCTTTGCATAATACACACAACCTTTGCAATTCTTATTTGATCTTTGTTAGTGAAAGTTGAGAGCCCAGCGTTTGTACACGTGTTTCAAGAACGGTCGTTCATTTCCTTTGAGTCCCACCTACAATCACCTTCCTATGCATGTTAAAAGCAAGAGCTGGGGAACTCCACTTCATTAAAGTTAGATCTTAAAGTTATTAAATAAATCCTTTCACTACTCTGCTCACTTGTTTATTCTTAATTGACAAGATTCCAAAATCTCTTATTCAATTCTGGTGATGATATTGAAAATTGTCTTCTTAAACAACGACGATATGAATAATGTAGGCGAATAATTTTATCATTGCAATGAATGAAACTTCTATTCAAATTTCCTTAAATCCTAAGATCACAGAGATATTTTATTTTAAAATATATTTTTTTATTTCTTATTAGATCGTAGCACATTTCAGTGTCCTTTTTTCAATAAATATGTAATAATTCTACAACGTTTTAATGCAATATTTTCGTTATGCTTTTTTTCTTCTGTGAATTAACTCTCTTGGCATTTTTAGTTAAGTAAGGTAGTCATCACATTTAGTTGAAAAGGTAAAAGCAAAATCATTGTGTTATGATATACATAAAAAAATTTAAAATATCATATTTGCCCGTAGGTTAATGTAAGTGTTAACTTGTCAGCAGGTTGATTTCAAGTTACCTCCTCTTTGAACTAATTGCTAATATTGTTTTCTTCACTATTACCTTTTACGTGTCACTGACCATATTTATGGCACAACGAATTGCAGTCAAACTGAAATATGCAATAGGTTAGTATCCTTAAGTATCAACTACGATTCCTCATTGCTAGCTTGTAGACGCGAGTAAATTCGTCATGGCAGTATAATATGATATTTATACGACGTCTCTCCACTTTGCTAGAACAGCTCTGTGATGTCCGTTGACGTTACGTGAGTTACTGCCAGGACTGCGGCGAGCACCGGCCTAGCAGGCGGCGCTCCCTCCAGCGGGAGTGAGAGCAGATCAAGTAAACCCCAACGACATATCTACTAGCGGCCAACGGGCAGCGCCCCTCCCACCCACATCTCCCACCCTCCCCCCATTCCTCTCCTCCCCCTCCCGGTTACTTAGGCCCACCAAACTGGACACGAACTGCCTCGGTTCGTATTAGACTCATACTTTGCGCGAAATGGCAAGCTTCGAAATCTTCGTGTGTTATCGTTTTGCTTCTCACAACCTGAAAGTGTAAAAATGAGTGACGTTTTACTTCCAAAGGAGGTCGTTACCTAATGATACATAAATGGCAACGTGCCTTGTATTTCTTGCCTTGAATCAAATTTCCCAGTAATAAGGAAAGAAATAATCTTATCCTGTGCACTTTTTACATAAAAGATAAAAATTTACTGGTGTTTAATATTGATTCATTCTAAAAATTCCTCACCCTGAAGTAAGATTATATTACATCATAATTTTTGCAAGCATCGTAAAATATTAACACATGTTTGCATGTGTTTAAATGCACACCAAGTTTCTTACTTATGATATAAAATTTAAATTAATGTAGATATTAAGGCCAGGGTAATCTCCTTTCAAGGGATCCTGTTTGGCTAGTTTCTGGTGTAGAATTTCATTCGACTTCAAATAATAGTGCAAGAGATTACAGTTCAAGAAAATTACTGGCTTACTGTGACATTGCAACAAAATATTGGCTCCCCAAATGTATCCTGCACGAAGCGAATGACTCAGATTAATGCCAAATATGAACATTGTTAACCGCTCCAGTAATTAAGTGTTTTACCAAGCAAACGTGATAGGCATTTTATTGAGTAGATTGCCTTCAGTAATGAAACTGGTAAACTTGAAACTCCATTTAGTATAAGAAGAAAAGAATTTCTTCTTAAAATTTTAGGGTGAGGATTATAACTAAGAACACAAACACAAATTATAGAATAATTAATTTATTTCAGTCAATTTCTCATATTTAAGTGAGATAAATCCATACACATTTCTTACTGATACAAAATTAAATACTTTTATTAAATATGTATGTAATTTATTCTGCGCAAAGACCAGGTCGCAAAATGCATTCATATTGTCATTAAAATATGTACATGTCTATTAGCAAAATTCAAACCTTATTTCCTAACCTATGAGGTACATCACATTGCTTTCAACTAACGTGTTTCTACCGAACCATTGCAGTAGAGTCACTGTCATGGAGTGAAATCAATCTCGTCATTTAGGAAATTTTGGGATTGCATAGTATGACTATGCGACAGGAGTGTCATTATGTTATGAGTGTGTCGCTCGAAAGAGGGACGGCATGACTTGGGGTGTGCATCGCATGGAGAGGGACAGAAACGTAGACTCTTCTGAACAGGAATGTGTTTTCGGGCGAGTCCGAAGGAGCTCCTGTTTTCCTCTGGCCATGGGAGCTTTAGTACGTCTACTTCCTCCTGTTTCTCTTGCCGACGTCATCGAACCATTTTTCGCTGTGGACAGAAAGTTTATGAATTACAATTACGATCAAAGTATTTCTTAATAGAGATACATTGTAACAAAATGCCTTTCGATTTTAATTTTTAGATTTTATTATATACGTGCATATAAATTTGTTTTATATGCGAGTTTTTCTACATTCCTCTTTCTAACAATATTTCGAGGATACTCGATATTGTTTATAAAACTATAAATCAATCATTTAATCATTCTCTGTATTTCCTTTGTAGCTTTCCAACTACAAAAGGAATATTATGATTATTTTTTATTTGTATCAATAAAGAGTTGAAAAATAAAATAAATTAATAACTCTTCAAAGTCGTGAGCAGTAATATTTAATATTAAAATTAAATGAATGGGAAATATATATTCCTATCTGGAGAAAAACAAAACAAAGTTTACAAATGATCGAGTAACGAATTTGTCTACATACGTTTTCACCCTTCTCTCCTTCAACTCCATTACATGAAGGTTGATACATAAATTCAATAGAAGGAAGGATTCTCTTCATAAAAGCAAACAATACCATACAGGTAATGAGCATGTGTCAGCCACATGTTGCTGAATATAACACATTATTAGTCATCACGTCTTTATGCGAAATAGTTCAACTTAATTCATTTTTTAAATTCATAGTTTAATTATTTGATTTTGAAGTAGAATCATGTGTATTTTCTTACTGTTCCTCCTCACTCCGCAAATAAAATTTCAGAGGCAAAAGGTAATTTTCTTATTAGAAGAGTGTACTATAATGGGAAGAGAAATAAATCCAATTTATATGAATTATTTAGTACCTATATTTTAAAACTTTTGTTGAGCTAAGGGCCACTGAAATTTCTTTAATGAGATTCTGTAAGTTTGTCTTCTGCTCTATAATTATAGACTATTTGAAATAATACAGTATGTGCATCATGGAGCAGTGAATGCTCCATTCCATTTTGCCACCATCCGATGATGGTACAAACAATAAATGTATAAAATGAACTTATGATAAGAGCAGATTTGGTTATTAGGGAATAAGCACAGTTGCTTCATAAATACAATTTCATATGGTTGCACCAGCCATCGAGGGAATGAATTTCCGAAACCCGAACAACCAGTCGTATGCCATACAAAAAGCTTATAGAAAGAATCATGATGAAACGCCCAGCCAACGCAAATCCTCCCTCATTTCCGGTACTTATTAATTTGATATTTTCACAGTATGAAACGACAGAAATAGAGGATACTAATGACTGCTGGTTATAGTGTCGGTCCCTAGCGGCAATCACGGGAGTTACAAGAATTAGTAGCACAGGATGCCCATGTGATGCAAAATTTGAAAATATCCATCAATTTATTTCATGAGTATTGAGTGAACAATATGCCAGAACCTGGACAGCAAACAACAGTTGATTAGCGCTAAGAGTTGAAGGGCTTGGGACATTGACATGACTATTCCACTTGTGAAATTAAAATCAATAATATATAACTATACAAACAAAATGCCCCAACAGGGCGGTGTATCAAAAAAATTAAAGCTTTTTCTATCCTATTTTTCTATCTGCTTCTCCTTTCTAGCCAATCATAAACTGTGAGTGACTCATCTATCTTAGGTGGCGATGTACTACATCGATCGCTATGTCGCATAAGATTTTGACATAGCTTTCAGTCATTTTCGACATTTGGCACATTTTGGAACTCTGTTAGACAGCATTTCACTAGTGGAATAGTCGTTTTAATACCACTCGTGCTTTGGAAATTCCGAGATAAATCCCCTCCTCGCTTCGTGATTCGGGAATTTATCGACAATTTCCAAAGCATTCGTGGTGTTACCTATGATAAACCAAAGAAACCACAAGAAGCTTTACTCGATTCGTAAATGTTAATGCCTCGATGTGAATGTATGTCTTACTTTGTTAATATACAAGACATTTTCATTTGTTTAAAGGGTTTGTAACACTAAAAAGACAAATCACCACTTTAACTAAAATTGAGACATTGCCACTCACGACAAGCGAGAGACTTTGAATGGCGGCGTGGCTTCTCTTGTCCTTCCACAAGCCCTTCCATTTCAATCAGCCAAGCGTTTTCGCACGAGCGGGGCGGGGCAGGGAGGGGTGAGGAGGGGAGGGGAGGGGCGTGGAGGGTCGGGGCGGTGTGGACTCAGGGACTCACCATCCGGCCACGTTCTCGGGCTCGTCGCAGCGGAAGTTGGCCTCGTTGTAGACGGTGTCCGCGGGGCAGTTGCCGGGCTGCGGCACGCGCCCGTTGCGGCAAATGTAGAACTTCTGGCAGTCGTCGGGGTGCGGGAAGGTGGGGTGCGGCAGGGGTCGGCCATTGGGGCCGATCACCTCTCCGTCCGGGCACGAGAAGCCGTCATCCAGCACGTCTGCAAGCACGCGCTAATGCACATCAGACAATACTCTCAGTGGGATTGATTGATTACTTCGTGTTTTCGGGCTTGTCGACGGCTATTTGTTCCGTAAGTGTAGTGCGTGTTTTATACACATGGATGATGGCGGTGTTTTTCCAAACTGGATGGGGAAATTCAGCGCCGACGAACAAATCGGCTTGCGGAATTTGTCCCATCCAGGTATCTCCCTCCAGAGGGGCAGCGTCTCAGCCGAGACAATATCTACCACAACTGGTCTCCCGATATATGTGGTAATGTAGTACAGTCCAGTACAGGTGCGTGTAAGTAAGGGATGGGGATAGGACAAGGTTGATTGATTGCTTAGAGAACTACTAAGGTCATTAGTCCCGTAAGTGTAGTGTATGCTTTTCTCGGGAGGTGGCGATGATCCTCCCCACTACATGGCGAGATCCGGCGCCGACCAACCGTCGGCTAGCGGGGATTTTGCCATCCAGGTATCTCCCACCAGCGGGGCACCGCCCCCCCCGGGACAAGCTCTAAGCTCCCAACCGGTCTCCCGGCATGTCTGGAAGTGTAGTGGATGTAAATGTGTATGTAAGTAAGGGGTAGGATAGGAGAAAGTATGGGAAGGAAAGACCGCGGGCGGCCTATGGCCTGTTTGGTAGGATACTGCTCTGGCATTCGCCTGGCGTTGGTCGGGAAAAACCATAGAAAACTACTGATCAGAGCAGTCGGCCGCTAGAATTCTCCTCCAGACTGTGACAATTCGACCTAGCTATTTGGCTAGTGACGAAATTCCTACTACCGTCTACTACCGGACTCAAACCTAGGGCCTCCCGACTAGATGCACTGCAGTGACATCTGTTGATGCCCTGAGCCCCGTAAGCCGGTTTGTGCACTTTTCATTTCTGACTCTACGTGACCAGGTACACAAAATGGAATCCAAAATAGGAAAAAAGAGATTATGCGACAGAACTACCCAAATTGTAAACTAGTCAAATACTTGTATGACTAACTAAGTACTATTTGTCATAGAAAGCAACATTTTCTCTAGTTTTTTACATTTCATTTACAATTGGAATTAATTAAATTTTCTTATTAATGTTGAATGTTTTCCTTATTAGTAAGAAAATGTGAAAACTTTAATTGGGTATGTCTCAAAATATTTAATGGGAACATTTAATAGATATTTTTTGAAATAGTGCATCTAAATTCAGAGCATTTTCTTTAAAATTCCTAAAATTGGCATAAAATAAAGTATTTTACGCCAATTTTAAACCGACAACAATTTAACAACGAAAAAAGTATACATAAATTTCTTTCTGCACAATTGATCCCATTATAGTTCGAAATACTCAGAATTAGCCGCTATATATCGCAAAAAAGCAAAGTATCTATTGAGAAGTTCAAGTTCTACAAATCTAGAAGCGTCTATCCCATTAAAAAAAGTTTTGATATTCTTAGATTCTCTAGCTTATCCGAAAACATTGTTTAAGTACCACAAAAACGCTCTTGGCAAGGTTCACGTTTCTCTAATATTAAACATAGTTACAAATCAAAAAGTAAAACGGAGGAGCATCTAATATCCCCTCTGTATCACCTTGAAATTGATTTTTTTCGATCTGGCAAAAGATGTTAATAGAGTGCTAGACAAAGTTGTGGGAAGATCCACCAGAAAAATGAGATTTGAGCAGATGAAAGAACGAATTGAAAGAATTTCAAAGGTAACTGAGATCTAAAGGTAAATAATTTGTTAAAAATAACGATGTGAAAATTATGAAACTGAAATTAGGAAGTAAGGAAATAAGTCAACGGTGTAGGAAATGAAGTAATGAAGTGAAAAAGTGATGAAAATTCAAACTGGTGAAAATGACAATAAGGAGTGTAATGAGAGAAGAACAATCTTTAGAATGACAGAGAAATAACCAGCTTTACTTGTGTTACTGTACATTCCCTCTTGCCTATTTCTCGGGATTGATTTTTGTTATCTTTTAATGGTAGAAGTTTCATTAAATCTACTAACTGTTAACTTATGGAAAGTAGTATTACGATTTTTGACGTCAATTCTTGAAACTCCATAAGCAGTTTATCGAGAGAAGTAACATCTCAAACATTGTCATTATTTGCCGAAGAAAGACTTTAATCTGGCGAGAGCGTTTTCAATTTTAATAAGAGAGGTGATTTTTACTCTATCTTCGCTATTTTGAGAACTATTATGAACATTTTACTAATAAAAAACGGAACAAAAATATATCTTATCTTAAAGCATTTTAAAAACATATATCTAAACTAACAATCACTAGTTTTTTAGATGCTTCACTTTCTTTGTGCATGTCCTACAGTTTATTTTGTATTGTACTAGAGCTTTGAATCAGGAATTAAAATTATTTGATGGAACATGAAGACAATATAAATAAAGATGAAAGAATGGTGGAATGAGTCATAGGGAAAACTAGAAATCCTGAGAAACCCCCCAAACCCGCATTTCCCACCCACAAATTCCCCATTCATCGACTGGGATTTGAACCAAGTCCTCTTGCAGAGGCGAGCGTCCTGCCCGCCAGAGCGCGTTTCTTAACGTTTCGAGCGTCCGCGCACTGACCCTTCTTGCTGTTGGTGCAGTCGTGGCGCTGGCTGTCGGTTGTCCAGGCGCAGTTGGAGCTCGAGTCGTCGAAGATGAGGCCGGGCGGGCAGGGCAGCACGTTGGCCTCGCCGTCCACGCAGTTCACGAACTTGTCGCACACCTCCGGGTCCGAGTGCCTGAAGACGCCGTTGGCGCGCGGGCAGCCGGGGCTGGGCTTCGGCTCCTCTGCAACAGAGACCGCCACCGTCGCAATCACCTCCATGGTATTTACATATTTTAGTATTATCATTTATTTCAACTTGTAGCTTGAGATCTTTGAACGGGAACGAAGTTACATCAAAGAATACATTAAGATATTTTTCTTGTCCACTTTTTCGAAAAATGTATCGTGTTTCGTGTCGCAAAATATCTTATTTGAAACCAGAATTTCCGATGTTTTCGTATGTTTCCTGTTTAAAATAATATTTTATCCCTTAACGTGCCCCTTTAACAAATCAACTTCTGGCATAACGTTGGGAAAACGAAGGCGACGGGTGACAGACGGGAACCCGCATGAACGAGGGCATTCCTGCTGAATGTGCGTACTTCAATTTTGTATTTAATTTATTGGAAAATAACTTTGAATTTCATACGTTTGTATGACGTTGGTTCCAGTGAAGTATCAAAACAATTTTTTTTTCAAGAACACAATATTGTGCAAAAATACAAAAAGTGTAAGAGTTACTATATAATGAATGTTAGTTTGGGTCTGAATAATTTGTAGAGATGTTCAATTTCTAACATACATTAAGGTTTGAAACTAGAAAAAAATAGTATTTTCTTGTTGAAAGTAAGAAGATTAATATATTTACATCGTTAATTTATTATATAGATAATTTTGACACAAAATGAGTATGAAATGATACATTGCATTGACATGTGTTGAAATAATTTCGGAGGTCAAAGGCCGGAACCTCGACACTATATTGAATCCGCAATGTCATTTGAGTCCTAAACGTATCAGTAACGATGTACGAGATTATCTTACACCGCAGTACAGAGTTACAAGAGCTCATTTTATACAGCATTGTAGGCCCGGAAGACATGAAGAGCTCATTTTGTTTGCAAGGGCACGTTGTTGTTCTCCACGTTTTGGGGGTAGCGAGTCATTCCTTCATATGAGCACAATTAGGGAAAGTAGCCTTTAAATATACATTGAATTATAAATTTAAGACGTTAAAATATACTTATTTTCTTATTTGAAATCAGAACGCTATGTGTTAATATTATGTCATCTCTTTGCTTGTCATGTAACTTTCTACATTAACTTAAACAATTGTCAAAAAGTTACAGGAGGCTAATTTCTCTCTTTAATAGGGGGAGTGTTTTATTCCCTTTATGTTGAATTATGAAATACTCATTATTAACATTCGGTAAAGAGATATATACCCATATTTATTAGTCTTGTAAGGTTATTTTTTAATACTGCACTTCTATTAATGCATTCGTCCAGTGTAATTTCCATAATGAGTAAATATACAAAGTAGTTTATAAATATTTTGAAAACTTCGAGTTTTATATTCACATATGACAAAGAGAATAATATATTCCAACGGTTAACAACTTCCAATGCGCAATACTTTCTTAAAATTAATCTTTATGCAAAGCCATAAACTTTTCATGAATTCATGTCACTGATATTGGAATACCAGTATAAACAATCCATACCACCCTGTTATTTCCAAAAATTATATAAAAGTACTGCAATTGTAGTGTTGCAAGTTTTTGTAATTGTACTTACTACTGTTGATTGTAAGAATGTTCAGTTTTCTAAGAAGATAAACTAAGAGTTACTTGTTACGAGGAATAGAAATGCAAATTAGAAAAGGAAAGAGAGTTTATTTGCATGTAATCCATCTACAAGAATTCACTTCGTAAATTGTACTGAAATGTTCCTCCGTAGGAAAGTAAAATCTCATCTACAATTCAGCAAGAGTGCTCTTAATTTTTTTTCCTTTACATATGTATTATAAGCCACGCCCTGTTCCAGGAACGGAGCGCAATTTAAGCGAGCAGGAAACAATTGAGTGAAAGGAAATAATACAGCGTAGATAGCATTTAGAACGTAGATATTCCTTACACTGAGGGTGAAGGTAACCTGTGACCGCACAATCCATATACTAGGTTAATGTTTCGTTTATTGGCATCTCCGTAATTTTGTTTTATCTATTTCAAGTTACTTTGAACAATAACTCTGATTCTTTTCAACATTTACTATGCAGTACTTTTATTTTTCTTACGTCTGAAAAGATGTTATCAACATATCATGGATAACAATACCTTATTTTAACAAATTCTAATATATTATGTAAAGTTCAGTAAAAGTGCCTTTGAATTTTTTATACGAAGTAAAATTTGTGACGTTATAAATGAGTTTATAAATGCTTATAAATGATAACTTTGCAATATCAAAATAAATGCAGCATCTTAAATAGAATTGCAAGTCGAAACTTAAATATATCATCAAATATTTTAAAGAACAAAGTATATTTGGTTTTATTGTGACCCTACTTAACAAAATAATAAATGAAACTAAGTTTGGATTACTTGTTAATTTACAAACCACGATTCCCTTACGAAGACTTTTAAAATGTCAAAACTCATATTTAATAGTTTACCGTGTACGTATTCAAAACAACAGTTAAAAAATTGTATCAGAACACATATGTTTGTTTCTCGGAAATACTTCAAAATTTTCTATTTTGTGTTGAAAATCACATTAACACGTTCACTGCCAAGCGTCAAATTTTGTGACACATCTCCTTGGTACAGTACAGGGTTTTCTCGCACTATGTCTTCGCGCTAATGGTAATTGAAGTATTTCATACTTGCTTGAACATTGGAAGTTACATCAATAATTTATAGTATATATGTAGAATTAATTTACAAAAATGTATAAGTCCATATGGACTCACGTGAGCGTTTTGCAGCTGTTAACACTGTAATGATACTAGTCTGCCTAATGGTCTCGTGCTACAAAAAAGAAAGAATGTCCCTCTGCGACCGCATGGTCTCGCATGGCAGCCAATGTAAAGGGCTGGCGCCAACTGCGCACTCACGGAGCTCGGTGCGGTCCCCGCAGTCGACGTTGGCCGGGAGGTCGCAGCGGCCTTGGCTGGGGTTGGTGTCGTCGAAGACGAGGCCGTCGGGGCACAGCTTCTCCTCGGGCTCGCTCTGCGTGCACTTGTAGTACAGGTCGCATTGCTCGGGGTCGGGGAAGTAGCCCGACTTCTCCGGGCAGCGGAACTGCGCCGCGGCGGGGCCTGCAAAACGGCACACGTCAGGCGACTGTACTTTTTGAAATGCTATCTTACATTAAATCATCGCAAGACATAAGATTAACAGGTATACTACGGATGATAACGTAACCTTATTTTTAATAACCATATCTCTGAAGATCTTTACTAAGTTTATTTATGTTGTGGATTCATTTAACTGTATCATTCTTTGCAGCGTTAAGAGATTGATGATTTATTTTCATTCATGAAATCAATATGTATCTTACACAAAGCGATAATCTACGTTTTCGTAGATACTTTACGCCAACAAAATAGTTTTCATTATTTCTAGAAAACTGGGGGAAAAAGTACCTTCAAGAGGGAAAGATTGTTCCACTCCCAAGAGCGATTTCATGTTAAAATATTTTTTGAGAACAAATTCTGTTATGAAGATATTAAATCATAACTTATATCATTGCTTTATAACAGTTATGATTAATAACATACAAATTTCAATGTACCTAAAATACTTGAAGATTAAAATGGCTAAAGAGTACAAAAAAATTAATTATCTAAAAGTCTTCTGAATCGCATTAAAACGAGTATTATTATATTATAAAATGTATATGTCCACCAAAGTAACGAAATTTTTCCCTGTATTTTTACTTTGCAAATTTGAAATATTTTTAGAACATTTTGAACTTTCTGAGCTAAACAATATTTCAGATTAGTTTTCCGTACTCTATTATGCTTTTTTTGCGCCAAAATGTCCAACAACCCTGTAGAAAAGGCGTCTAAAAGAAATCCGATATAAAGAAACCTCTAGGATTAAGCTGTTTTGTAATGAGAAGGAAAAGATAAATAAGAATGGATTTCTTTGTTCCGTTACTTTCAATTCTCCCTAGTCATTTAAAGAGAATTAAAATGGAAGGGTCGATCCGGATAGCCGAAATCGCTTAGGCAGTAGTGTCGTGGCAATCTCGGATCCAAGGATCGCGTGGACGAATCCCGCCTCGGGTATGGATGTATTGTATTTATGATCGCCCCTTCACCCTTCACCAGCGTATCACTTCATTAAAGAAGGATTAAAAAAAATCCTTGCGCGAACAGGAGGCACTGCCCTAGGACGTCCAGCTGGCTAGTAAAAAAATGAAAGTGCGAAAATTACAAAATCAAGCAAACTTCATATTTGGCGCTAAATAATCGTTGAAACAGTAGACATTCGTAATGGAACGTTGAACATGATCATGAAAAGAGGAGAGATCAACCAAGATTCCGCGACCTCTGGAATGTGGGACAGTCGTGTTGCAGCGTGGCTTCACGAGACGGAACAGGCACATCCTGAATAGGAAGCGTGAGAGCTGCCCGCGCGACCTTCCGCCTTGTTCAGCCGACCGGAAAGGTGGGGGCGTGCGAGATGTTCACGGAAACTCACGAACAAGAACGGTCGCATTTCCCTCGAGAGTGGCACAACGCCTCAGCGTCGACGCCCACGTGACCTCCGATTCCCTCGCCATTCCTTACAAAGTAGTGACTTTATGTTAATGACTCCGTGTAGACGTCTCTGTCCTTCAATAATTTTAGACGATTCAGGCAAGTGTGACAGAACTAAGCTCCATTTGCGTGTGAAGTTCGCTATCGTCACAATGCGGCCACTCCAGTAATCAAGTCTACGAAAACTCCTGTTGCTTTGTTTCAACATTCTCGTTAAATCCCATTCTTTATTTCTTGACAATCATTAATATTTCAGTTTTACAAAAAAACAAATTTAATTCGAAAATCCCATTTTTATTGGTATTTGAGGACCATGTAGACACATCCACGAGCTTTTCGCATGGACTGTACAGCTCTGGACTGCAGGAAGAGATAGCCTTTAAAATTGTCAAAACAAATCCCCTCAATTTTATCACCATATCAAAAATATAGATTTAGAGATTAAGAGATTATCTAAAACTAGTGAATTATTAATTTCGTCGTTTCCTCCAAACCTTCAGGTAACTTTTTCTTAACTATTCATCTATTTCCATTTTCGTGACGTACTTGTCATCTACAATCTAATATCTTAGCTTAATTTTTTAATTTTTTGTGGCGTTTTGTTGATATTTCCTCTCATTACTTTTATTCTTGTATTTTAATCATCTCATTCTTGTAATCTAATCAAAAGTCACGAAAACACCGTGTCCAACTTCTGTATATAAAAAGACATTGAACACAAATACACATACAAAACGTACAATACAACAATGAATATACTAGTAGTTATCCACCTACGAGGCCTAGCCTGGACAGGATCCGTAACGCCACACCGCACCGCGACACGCACTCCACCCCACACCAAACCACGCCCGACCACGCCCCGCTACGCTTCGCCCCTTTTCGCCCCGTCCCGCCCCGTCACGCTACGCCTCGCCTCCTCGCCCCGCCTCACCACGCCACACAACGCTCTATCACGCCATGCCCCGCAACGCCATGCCACGCTCCGCCTCGCCACGTCCCGCCACGCTCCTCCTCTCCCCGCCATGTCTAGCCACGCCACACCATGCCATGCAGCGCCTCATCTCATCTCGTCTCGTCTCGTCTCGTCTCGTCCCGTCCCGTCTGTTTATACCCTGAGTAACACGTTTCGTTTCTCCAGCCATCCGTGACCCCGTTCACCTGCCCGATCCTCCGGCGGCGCTGCGACGTCGTCCCACTTGGGGCGCGGTGTCCACGAAGCGCCGGCGGCCGCCTCGGCAAGTGGCATTTGCGCACGCGGCCGCCGACGCCGACACCGGGCCCGCCCAATGCACCGCGCTAGCAATTTCTCCGCCGGGGACTGGCTCGCGCCATTAAATAGGCATTTCTCGCGGCCCCTGCACGCGCTTTCGTGCCAGCTGATTCTTGGCCGCAAATAGGGAAAACCCGGGGCTTGCTGGAGGGAGCCTTTCCAATTGCGGAGTATAAAGACCATCTCGTTAGGAATTTGGAAGAGTCGAAGCAAAAATATTCTTACTGATACCGCGTAATCGAAACATTCGTTACAACAATCTTCTTCTACCAAGCTATAGTAATAATATAGGATAATGAAACAGTTGATTCCTATCAAACTGATGGATCTTCACCTCCAGGAAAATATGTGCTTAGTGAAATAAAAATGCTCGGTTATTTCTTTGAATATCCGATATTGACATTAAGGCTTACTTATTGTTAAAAACGTGAAATAATGTAACGTGGCGTCCTATTGCCGTTAGGATCGTTCCTGAATATGCAGTTAGTTTGAATTATTATTATTATTATTATTATTATTATTATTATTATTATTATTATTATTATTTTAAAAATAAAAATAAACATAATAACGAAAGAAGCAATATTTCATATTTGAGGATGCGTACAATGAAATCGGTAAAATTTGTAAGAATTTTCTCGTTAATAACCATTTTCAGTAAAATGTGAAAATTTTCAGTTTAATGTATAAAATATTTTAGGCTTATCTTTTCACACTCAAATCATTGCATATTTTTTAGACAGTTCAATGTTTTACAGGATATTAACCGGCAGATATTCATCAAACATGTAATAAAATATTTTATCTGCGACTTATTTTATTACCGTGAACACCGTCCAGATCAGTTCGCTCCGAGGATGGTCGCAGATTAGCGGTCGAAATGTTAGCAACATCCCTTCGTTACTGACAGCCAAGAATCTGTTCATTCCGGCCCCGGAATGTTACTTTTCATCTTTACATCGTCCTACTGATAAATGACTTCGATGTAAAAGCCGCCAGTCAGTTTTCGCAAAGTAGGGTGTCTCTCCGTGTCTCAATCCCTGCCCAAGCGGCGCTCCACTGCTCCACGAGGAAGCCGCACGCGCGACAGCGAAAGTTGGAGCGCGGCTACGCGGCCAGCGGAGCAACTGCCCCCGGCGCGATTTACGGCGCCACGCCTCGGCCCCTCTCGCTCCGACACCCACGTCGCCAAGGCCTCGCGCGTCTAGAGAGGCTTTCGTTGACGAGCAACGATACGAGATCATTAATTGAATTGTGCTTCCAGAAATCGATATGACATCCACTGGAGTAGTGCACAATAATCTATGATGTGTCGTATACCAAACTTATTTTCTTCATCAGATGTAGTCTAATTTAATAAGGAATACAAACGTCAAAACTCATTTCATGTTGCATTGTGTTTCAAAAGAAAAGAGAAAAGCCGTTAAGATTGATGTATTTTGTTCAGGAAATTGCAACTTTTAAAATTCGAATGAACCGTTTAAGAAAAAAATTGATACCTGAATATATAATCAATATTAGGCATATTGGATATTACTGATTTTTAATTAAAATATCAGTACAGTATTAAATGTTACTTTACTTGGCATAAATACTCAAGTTGCCACGAATTTATTATGTATGAAATTATATGAAATTATTTGTAAATTAATGGTTCTTGGAACCATGTAATTATTTGTACGAAAATATCTGATCATTGAAATTATACTACTTTCATTTTAGAAAACCTCCATAAATCGTACAAAAATAATAAATTAATTCGAAGATGTTAGATTTGTCTCATTATTAAAAATATACGAAGAAAACATATAAAACTCGAAAATATTCGTACAAATTTTTTAGAAATTCTCCGCAGAAATTCAATATTAAATGAATACAGATGGATTTAATCAGCACGATGGAGACATTTCACCTACGAAATTGTCACATATTTTCAAAATATTCATTGCTGAAATAAAACTTACATTATACTAATTTCATTCTTACGTTCTCATTGAAACCAAACCAATTGATTTTTCTAAAATTTAAGTCTCTTCACTATAGTATATAATCAGAATGATTTCAAACAGTATATTGTAAAATGCTACGCTACTACTGATTACACAATTTCAAATGTTTTCTCTTAAAAGCAACGCACTCATTTCGCAAAGATTTTACTGTGGAAACAAAAATATTCTCGCGTCTACAAGCAGTTTGATTTCAAAGGGATATGTTCTCGACACATTGAAAGTGACAATAACATACATTTAAACTACAGTAATCTACAAGGTTGTGAAAG